TCAATGAATAATTAAATATTTTGGATTTTATTATAATTTCCGGGTACTTTTTTGTCACAATGTATATCGTTAAAATATCGACTGACCATACCAACCGTAAACATCGTCGATTTACTAACAATGACAAATAATTGGTATGAATTAGTCGCTAAAAGTCGAATATCAGGACATTTTGATATATTTTATATACGAGAAATCGACATTTTCCGATTTTCTTAACAAGAATGGAACAATAGATTTGGTACAAAAGTCATCCATCTTTGTTCGACAATTTGGGTCCGCTTACCCTACCGCATAGATGTCTTTGAAACAATATCTACTGTTTCTACAATCCCAAATGCGATTGCGGCAAGATGGATATTACTGGGGTCAAGTAGTTCATTGGATATTCTCTTGAAAACGAGTCGCGCAAGAGCCGGTCTTCGATCAACGCCGCTAAACTCTCGTCGGGTAGATAGGTTACGTCCTAAAACGTCGTAGAGCACTAGGATATAATAGAAATTCAATCTTACGACTGTCAAGAAATAATTTTTCCAAAGTTAAAGAAAGTTTCCAAATAATTTCGGAAAATCTATTCTTCAGCAAAGATAGAGGAAAGGAACAAGAGCTCCAAAAAACAGGCGACATGAGGACCTGGTTTCCATCTGACCCAAATACTTAGTGGATATGGGTGATTTAGAAGCTACCTTTACAGATTCCAAAGAATACTCTGAAAGGAAAAACTAAAAACCACACCCGTTGGTAGTTTACGGTCGATAATTTAACGACAATCATGTGTCATTCGACTGAAAAATGGAAAGCTGTTGGCGAAGCGACGTTCGTAATGTCAAAACTAAAACTTTTTCAACAGATGAGGCATCTGTCGGTCGGCACAATAGAGATACTTAAGCGTGCTGTTCCTCCCACGAAGTATTACTTAACCGGTGGCTCGTAGGAGAGTCTTGAGTTGAGTTCCCCTCCTATAAATGTTCTTTAGAAACTAAAATCGATTTTTTCATATTCACAAGTTATTAAAAATTGTTTTAAAAAAGCTGTCAGAACCATCGATATATAAACACTATAGCCTATACATACATACATATGTATATAGCTGTCATAAAAACTTTATATTCAAAATGAAATACTTGTATGGTAAACTTTTTTATTTGTAAGGGATATTATATATTCGGTGCAACCGAAGTTAACGTTTTTTTTCTAGTAATTGCATTTAGATTTAGCAAATGTTGATCAGCGTAAATTTAAAATATAACAACTAAGTCAAAAAACACCGCACAAAAAATTAATTAATATTAAAACTTTCGATAATCATGTTTGGTGGTCAAAATGTTGATTAGCAACATGTTTCAGCAACACAGCGGCATGCTATCCCTTTCACTCATGTCTGGACAACGCATACAAACGGCCACCCCACACACACACGACACGTTACATAACGCACCAACAAAACCAATAGTACAAATACACAAACGCACAACAACAACTCGATTGCCTGCTTTCCAGCATTTACACACCCTGCCGCGGCCTGTGCCAGTGTGTGCCTATCGCAGCCGCCACCTTCGTGCGGCCTATTGCTCGCAACGCATACGACTTACAACAAAAGCACTACAACAACACAACACAGCAATGCGCACGTAATGCACATAATAAAAGTAGGCTGGGTTTATGGCGCCCCAGCCTAAAGCCATTACCTTAGCCATAGCTATAGTCTCATGCATACAAAAAGTATTGCCCACCAACACACACGCAACGTACATGCCTACGCACACCTGCATGCATACATGCAGTACACACGTGTGTGTTTAATGTATTTGTATTTATGGCCAAGAAGCAAGAGAATGCAATGCATTTTTTCTGCACTATTTTTGTTTCACGAACGACGTACTCCTCTCTCTTCACTCTGCCGGGCAATTATACGCGGATGCAAGCATGTATGTGCATGTGTTTGTATGTACACATGACTTCATATGTGTTTGGACACAGTTGACGGCCTATATTGGTTGTATGTATGTTTGTTGGTTTTGTTTTTGTTACTGTTTTTATTGCTATTTACACAGATGCGATACGCGGCTGCATTGCGTTGGTGCAAGCGAGAGCCACAACAACTAAATATGCTGTAAATAAGTATGGACGTAGCATTTGCCAGCACATATGGGAATAGTAAAGTGCATAAATATGTAAGTGTGTATGTATGTATATATTTGCAAACATAAAAACGTGTGTATATAATAAAAGCTCTATGCGGAACATGCAAGACTAGCAGATACGGCATGCTTTTGATACTCGCATGCACATATTTATGTAGTTATATAGATATGTTTACATATGTATGCCTAGTTTCACTAGCACTTTTGGTCACATGACGCTGTTGTTATTGTTTTTATTACCTCTACCAACACTAGAGGCTGTGTCATTTTAGCGAATAAATTCATCAAATAAACCAAAGGTTTGCCAGCTTCTATGAATACTCCTTATAAGAGGAGAAAGTGCGTATATGTGTTTGGTACAATAGTTGGACAATTCGTCTAAAGGATCACAAACAAGGGCAACTGCGGAAACCAATGCGATATTGGTGAAAAATTTGATATTTTTGCAATTATTTGGAGGAGTTGGCTTGTAAAGATAGTTTAAAAAAGTTTTACATGTTTTTGTTATGTTTGTTTGAGGTAAATTATAAATATAATAATTAGCTCTTAGAAAGCCTGACGCCGCTACAAAATTTTTAAATTAATCTTCCGAATTATTTTAAGACTAAGATTTCTGTTTTTTCTGCCATTGCCCATCTCTTCTTAAAATATTCATTGTTTTTGAAAAGTATATATGTACTTCAATGATAACAACTCAATTACGAATATTTGTAGGAGAATTGGCATTAAATTACTTCTTATTTTTTGATTCCGAGATTTTCTGCTTCGGCAATTTAAGGTTAAAGCAAAATTATCAACAATATTATTGCTGGCCACTTTTATACTCCGAACTTCGTCGTTGACTGTCTATGTAGATTTGAGTAAACGCGAAGTAGCATTATTCACAGATTGCATTTTGAAACCTTTCACTCAAGGAGCTGCTAAATTGTCGGAACCAACAATATCGGACCACTATAGGCTATAACCGCGATTCAAGCTGATCAATCAAAATCCAGTAATGGTATGGAAAACCTTTTTATTTGGAAAACTATCTTCACGAAGTTTTACGAGAATTATTCTTCTAGACAAGGCTGCAATATCCGAACATATTGCTGATATCGTATCGTCTCCAAAGAAATTGTACAGATCAGACCATATGTATAGCTGCCATTCAAACTATAAGAAAAATATCTCTATAATTTTTTTTATTAATTGACCTTAATTAGATTTGAAGGTTAGCAAATATAAGCGGCTAAGAAGAACCAGCAGAAGATTTTCCTTTGGGTGTAGTAATGGCAAGGTTATATTTTCAGAATTAAATGTACTTTCAAAGGGAGTTATAGTTTCCGTGCAGCAGATGTTAATGTTTATTTTTATCCATCGTTGGGTAATTTTCTGCAATATATTATGAATTCTAAAAACATTGCATTATTTTCAATAAATTATTAGAAAAGATTCACACTCCACATTTTTGATTATGGGTGCAAAGATATTTTTCTTCGAAAGCAGCGCTTTTTTATGGTCTCTTTAGCAGATTTCTATATACGAACATTTTCATTGAAATGCTGAACATTTTAAGTTACATACGAACTTTCTAATTTTATTTAAACACTGAACTTAGTTTATTTTATTTTTATTATGAAAATATATTAATAAGATTATTAAAGTTAAAATTAAGATTTTGTTAATTGTCCCCAATTGATTTATCTTCCTTACGTTTTAATGCCATTAATTAACACAAATCACTTTTATATTTTATATATGTAGATACACAATAAATAATACGCATATGTTTATAAAAGCATGAACAATTAATATACAGTATATCAAATTAGAATTTTATATAAAGAGAATTTACATTTATGTACTAAACTCTCCGTAATTCTTAAGAAAATTCTCATTATAGGGTATTATTTCATTAGCAAGCATCATTTATCTGCTACAAACTTGATAATCAAATTTTTCAATACTCACCATGCTGAATAACTATTTTCCACTTTGTCGCACTTCCCTTATCATATCCTTATACAGTTGTCGCCGAATATGCACTTCCGGCGTACAAATATAGACGGAACAGAAATTTACTACGGCAGTGGAGCACTAGCGCTCCACCAATAGAGCCTTTATATTTCAACATTATTGCAACAGTACAAAGTAACATAAAACACTTGTATTTATATTATTTAGCTTAAATCATTATCAATCCAATAAATTTAATTAATATATAACCATAAAAGCAAAGGGAAATATTTCCGGCACACCTTCACTCTGCCACAACCTTGAACTTTAATTTTCGACTTTCTACCATCAACAATAACATCATAAGTTGTATATATCACTTTTCTCTGCACCGTTATACACATGTGAACGCTTTTCAAACAATTTATTAGTATACAATGACTTTTATAAGAGGTTTTTAAAATTCTTCAAGCGGAAGAACGCCTTCTGAAATAAAATTTGCAAAATTTTCTTCAAAATGGCGGTGTCCGTTAGATCTGTCAGAGCAAAACCGTTAGCTATACAGTGTTGTTAAATATAATATTCAATATGTTAACTATTTTAAAGTAAAATAAAGCGAAAACTGGTGTTATATTTTTAAAGGTGTATTCTAACAAAAATGTATCTACGTTTATCATAAATATTTTAAATATATAACTTTATTTTGATGCTTTTATTACTTTTTTTTCGTTACAACCATGCAGCTCAGGCACAACACAGAAAGCTCGTTGTTGTGAAAACTACTTAATATTTACGTTGTCAGCGCTTTCTATTCACACTACAGTGTTTTCGCTCTTACATACAAATACAGAGACTTTGTGTCATTTTACAAATTTTGTCGTGTGCACTCTTTTCCGCCCATATGCTTGCCTTATGCTGCAGCACTGTCAGTTTTGGACAATTTGTCAGAAAATTTTTTTAAGTGCGTTTGTCGTGAAATTTCTAATTGTTTGTTTTCAATTATTAGTCACGAAAAGTAAGCCATAATAACCAATAAAAAATAGTGGTGAGTGTTAAACAATCTACGCTCTATCAATTAGTAAACACAATAATAGTTAAAGTTGTATACTAATACAGATAATTGCGTTGACAGTGAAGGAATAAAATTTGCAAGTTCATCGATGTCTCGTGGTTGTGGTATTCGTTTTGTACTTCAGTCGGTGTTTTCAGCGATGTACTTAGAAAATTTTCCAATTATAAGTGACATATTTGCGAGTATTTACTATATTATTAAATTTCCTATTATAACAGCATTATCTATTTACTAAGGGTTTTGGTGTTCGTTTATTGATTTTCCAAAACGTAAAATTAACCAAATGAGTACGTTACTTCTCGGCTTTTTCCATTCACATTCATATATGTATAAATATATGTACGTATGGAGAGCGTGTGGGGGTCCACTTAGTGGTACGTTCGAGAAGCACGTAATTTTGTTTTGTATGCAAGCCTGTCAAGAAATCAATATATCTGTTTTGAGGGCGCAAGTGTTGATCGATGATTAGCACACGCTACGGTCAGAAGTGTTCAATTTTTATATGAGCATATTTATATGTATGTATATAGAACTTGTACGACGTTTGCGTCAAACTTTACCATGGGTAACACATACCCTATATTTTCTTTGTTTCCTTTGTTTAAGAAAAACTGCAGAGTTTAGCTTTCACCAACGCCTTCATATATTTATATATACATATGCTGTGGCCACAAATTAACACCATTAGATGTTGATTTTACATTCATCTAATTAATATTACACTATTGCAAATCACGCATACATATAAATTTTATATCCTGAGCAGGATATATTAAGATTGCCCTGAAGTTTTTAGCTAAATGAAACTTCAGAGACCCTTACTGTTCAGAACATGTTTTTTACATTGTTTTATTTAAGATTTTGCTAAGTAATCTAATGTAACAATTAAAAAATCTTAAAAGAGTATTTGATACTCGTCATGTTAGCTTATTTGTCGGAACCATCAATATCTGACCCCGGTAGGTCGGTAGGTCACGTAAACCGACCGAGTAAAATCAAGTTCTATGAACGGTTGCACCGAAGCTAACATTTCTTCTTTTTTTAATAAAGTTAACTGCATCTTAACATTTTTTATTATAAAAGGAGTTACGTGTAAACATATATTTCGAAACCAAATCATTTAATTTTTCTCATGGCTTTTTGTTCTGTCCTTGTATATTTATAGCGTTCCCCTTTCACATGTGCATCGTTCCCTAGCGAACAGTAGCGAAACAGGAAAAGGCTCTATAATATCGTAAACGAAAAATAATTATTGTAACGACCAAGTGTATACTAAAGTAAATAGATAATTCACAAACTGTAAACATGTCCAGCTTACCACGTCGCATCATCAAGGAAACTCAACGCTTGATGCAGGAGCCTGTGCCCGGCATTAATGCCATTCCTGATGAAAACAACGCACGCTACTTTCATGTTATTGTAACGGGTCCAAATGATTCGCCTTTCGAAGGTGGCGTTTTTAAATTGGAATTATTCTTGCCCGAAGATTATCCCATGTCAGCGCCAAAAGTACGTTTCATTACCAAAATTTATCATCCGAATATAGATCGTTTGGGACGCATTTGCTTGGATGTACTCAAGGACAAGTGGAGTCCAGCATTACAAATTCGTACAATTCTGCTTTCAATTCAGGCGCTTTTAAGTGCACCCAATCCAGATGATCCACTAGCAAATGATGTCGCAGAATTGTGGAAGGTGAACGAGGCTGAGGCCATCAAGAATGCACGTGAATGGACTCAGAAATATGCCGTCGAAGACTGAAGTGCAAAGTGAAGTGTTTGCAGCAGAAAACGAACGACGATGAACACGAGCGGTGGAGCTGCATGGAGTGTGGCGGGGGTTTGGGCATAACATGAGATCAACACGTGAATACAACGGCTTTTTGTTGGTAAACAAGTGATGGGGTGGGGGAACACGGCGTAGTTGTATTGTGTGTGAAACATGAAATGGAATTATATAATAACAATTAAGTAGAGTAATATTGCGTAAAAGAATTGCTAACTGGCTAAAGAAGAACAACTATTTTCCGGTATGCTGTTTAATATTTTTAAAATACTATACACATTAATACATTGAGATGCTGACGTCTTGATGTTTTTAAAAGTAAAACTCTACCAGGCAAACCGTAAACACAACAACAAACAAATGAGTATAATAAATGAAATACAAAACAGTAATAAAGTTATTGATGATGCAAAAAAAAAAAAATTTAAAATAAAGAAATACAAAAATTGCTATAAGTACATACAATAAAATATAAATATATGTATGTACACTCTTACGATACACTTTAATACAAGCTAAATGATATGATAATAGTTTAAATAGAATATAAAAACAAACTAAATGCTAAATCACTTGTAAGAAGATGCAACAACAACAATAACTATGCGATATTTGATTCCAACTTTTATACGGTCTACATATGGCTGCTAAGATGAGCGTTTGAGTAAAGAGCGCAACACAACCTTTCAACAAAAGGCCGGTTACTACTGGCTTTCGTCCACGTATGTACGTTGAAAGAAGTGTTGCACGTCACTGTGCGCGCTCGTTAGCTAGGTCGCTGTGTGCTATTTATTCACATTTTCTTTTAGTTGCGCTAACAATATTACGTTTAGCCGCCTATTCTTATGGCAATTATATTCTTTTTTTTTGCATTTTAAAGTCTAAGCCACTCTTATACATATGTATCTACATGTAAGCACGCCGCATGTTGACGTTGTAGATATTCTGCGTTAAGGAAGTTGCTATTAATATTTAAAGAACAATGAAATTTGATTAATCATTAGAGTGTACACTTCACAAAAAAAAAAAAAAAAAACTGACGTTACTTTTAATTTTGTATGATTATATGTTTCCTTATTATTTTCATTATAATTATTAGCATTATTTAAAAAATCCTAAATAGGTATTTTTAAAGTTTAATGGCATTTCATGTACCAAGCTGCATAAAAGTCTAGGTGAAAGCAAACGTCAATGTGAAAAACATTTGACAGCAGCGCTGCATGTATTGCTGCCCTTTCTATTCGTTTGTGTGTAAAGCAAAAATACCTTTATAAAGTAAAATATATAAAATATTAAGAATCTGCATATTATTTTTTTTTTTATTTCTTAAAGAGTTAGTTGAAATAAACGCGAAACCTGAATTGTAATATAAAAAAAAAAAAAATAATTACGTATTTTTAATTACCAATGAATAAAAATAGAAATTTGGAATAACCATACCTGGATAAGTATTATATTATACACCAAATTTGCTATTACTTTGTTTGCGGCATGCTTCAAGGATCAGCGCAAAGCCGGGCAACACTCTAAAACACCAAGGTACTGCTTGTTTTTGTTGTAGGCATGGTAAATATTTTACTATTTTCTTTGCAGTTTGTGAAAGCTTGCAGACGCTGAAATAATATTAACGAAATTATGCTACATTTCTCGGTGTTTATGGCACTTGGCTGCTGCATAAAACGCCGCCAGACACCAAAGTTACACAAATATTATTTATAGCAGCATTTAGCTAAATACTTTTAGCCGGCATTGTCTTTCGAATTTTCAATACATGTTGCTGCCCCAAACCATTTCTACTAAAACTGTTCATAACACATTTTTTTTTTTTTTGTTTTTTGTAAGAAAAGTTTGGGGCCACACTTAAACCAAACTCTTTTCGAACTTTTCGTCCAACTGCTTGGCCAACGAATATTGGAAAAAGCGCCGCTGGCGGCCAAATGTGCCGAAAGTGATTTATATAACCACGATAATCGCTACTATTTTGCCATTGTATATTTTGATCACATTGTTGTTGCTGTTGGTTGCTATAGTTGTTGTTTCTGGTGGCTGGCTCGTACGTACATAACTAGATATTTTCTCTTACTGCAGCAACAGGCGCAAAACCGTGATGGACCAACTTGGTCGCTGCCGTTTAAAGCTTACCAACAACTGTTGTTCGCGGGCATGCATATACATACGTACATATGTATGTACATACATAAGAATGGATTCATCGTGGGCGCAACGCCACGCATTTCGTTATTGTTAATTGGCCCTTTTTGGTTGTGAGTCGCTCAGCTGCGAAGGTGCCATTGTTGTGAATACGTGCCCCTTTTGATGTTGTTCTTGTTGTTTTGTTGGTGTTGTTTCGGGTGGTAAAGAATTATTACAGCTTGTCACCTTATTTCGGGCGATTTACGGTAAAATTTATCGCTGATGATCAACAATAAAAAATGTGTTGTTGCCAGCGGTACACATAGAGCTGCTTACATCCAACATACCTACATACATACATATGTACATATATGCTGGTTGCTTTGGAAGGTGGCGCAAGGAGTAACGCCGTGCAGTTGGATAATTGCACTCAAACGTGTCAAATTAAGTCCAATGCGGCACGGGCACAGGATTTTTACTTTGATTTATGGATTGCAAGGCAAACGGAAAGTAAAATATATTTTTCTTGTGTGGCAAATAAGGGCATAAGGAAGGGGTTGTAAGTACTAAATATCCGAATAAAAAATATTTGGAAAATTATTAACAACAAGAATGAAATGCTTAAGAGAAATTAAATGATTTATGTTCATACAAACCTACGTATGTATGTAAGTTGAGGAAAGTAATACCTTTTGTTGAAATTTTTTTGGTCATCGACCTGTCGCTGACCACTCTTCAAATACCCCATAAGTGAAAATTTGTAAGAGTGGTCCCACTACTAAAATCTGGGTACGCTGCCAACAAAGGGGAGTTATCGTCCTATAACTCTCCAATTACCAGTAGTGAAGACGCTTAAGACCTTCCTACTCCCAATTTTCACTCACTACCTGTGTCTAGCATGCATGGCTTCCGTAAGGTGCACAGCACCCCGACAGCACTTAGCGTCGTAAAGGCCCCTCAACCGAAAACCATTCTGCGAGCGGCCAATCCTTGTAGTGTTGGACTTGTCAAAAGCTTTTAATACAGGGAACCACACAACGCTACTTGAGGACATCGAAATCGAAAAATATACACTCTCTGCTGGGTTAAGGATGTGGTAGTTCATACTATGAGAGCGGTCGACTATCATCCATACTGTTTCCAGGTAAAAATTCTAAATAGTGATGAATTAAACAGAGGCTTCCGCACGGAGTTGTCCTCTCCCCGTTGATGTTTAACTTTTACATTTGGAAACTCCCAAAAACTCTCAAAAGTTAACGGTTTTCTCTATGACCTTTCTCGCTTCCTCGCTGTACGGAATATATTACTCTCCCACACTAAAACCACAGCGATCATATACACAAACTGGACGAAGGAGTACAGACTTGACCTTAATATTGCAGTCGATGGCGTTTAATTTCCGACTGTCAATAATCCTAAGATTTTAGGTGTGGCACTCGCCAGCCTGTGCTGCTTCACTCCTCATACAACCGCGATTATTGCCAAAGTACAGAACTTCAACAAAATCCTCAAGTCGCTAATCGGCAGCATATGGAGAAAAGACCAAGAAACGTTGGTGGTAATATACTGGGAAATCGGTTGGCCGGCTCCTCAACTATGCCACCCCAATATAGTCTTCTGGATGCATTAAACGCAGACGAGAAATCTTCAGACATGTCAGAATACTGCACTCCGGACTTTAACGAGAGGCCTCTTGATGTCGCCTATCGCACATCTACACAGTGAGGCCTGTAGGCTCCCTCTCAGAGCAATTTTTGCTGGGGTATTTTCGTTGAAACCATAAGACATAAAACAATATGCCGACCAGAGTTCGGATGCAACTAACTTCATTCATGCACTGACTGCCATTCACAGTGAAGCCATAATCTTCTTCACCGACTCCCTCTCAGTGAATGGAGTACTTTGGTCAAATAACCGTCCACTGAAGTAGAGCTCGAATAGCCGCGAGAATTGAGAGTTACTCCCTCCCTATGTTTCGACCTATCAAAACAGCACGATTCCTGGGCTCAACATTATATGATGGATGTCTAGATAACCGTTGCTGCAAAAACAACAACAATAATTTTTGTGTTTGTTTATTTCAGTGACAACACACAATTTTGCTCAATGCACACTTTTGTACGGATTGTGTGGTAATGTGCGTTCATACCTAGATAAGATATGTAAGAGCATAAGCCATCAAGGGCTTGCCAAGTATAATAGAATTATGCTTTTAACGGGAAATTCGCTAGTTTTTACTATAAAAATGCACAACAAAAAAGTATTTCAAATATAAATTATTGATAATTAAAACCAAGTACCTCGGTTTAACGTTAGACTCCACGCTGAGGTGGAAGCAGCACGTAAAYCTGACGTTGGTCAAGGCGACAAGGGCCTTAATGGTGTGTAATCGCCTGGCAGGAAGGTCCTGGGGTTTTTACTCCTAAAATAGCCAGATGGTTGTACACCATGATAGTAAGACCGATAATCACATATGGGGCGGTAGCCTGGGCCTCAGTAGCGTCGCAAAAATCGGTTAGGACACAACTGCTGAAGCTGCAGAGGCTGGCCTGTGTCTGCATGACGGGTGCAATGCGAACCTGTCCAACGGCGGCACTGGAGGTTCTCCTTGAACTTACTCCG